TTTCCTTCCTAAAAAGTAAGGGGAAGTGTGCGTGCGTCTTATGGAGCGAATGCAGGCTGCGCAGCTATCGCTGAAGCCAGAGCAGCAATCCCTCTTGCTGTTCTGGCTTCAGCGATAGCCGCAAAAAGCCTCTTCAACAACATTTGATTCAGAATAATTTTTCCCCTTGTTTTCCTCCTCTAAAAACTAGGTGCGTCTTATAGAGCGGAAAATACGGCACATAATTACATAACAAAAGTCATAAACAATCAATAAAACACATCAAAAGGTACACAACCAAATGGAAAACAATTTCCACATAAATCATACAATCTAAAACTAAAAATACAACATTAATCTCAATAACAATTTAAAATAGTATAGATTAAAAAAAATCTTCAAAAAGGAGCCCTCTCTGTTGAGCAGCAGCAGCAGCAGCAGCCTTCCTTTCTTGTGTCCTAATGCTTGACTTTTCCTGTTCTTCGCCAGCCTGCCTTCAAGGCAGCTTCCAAGAATGAAATGGGCCGGTGCAGAACTAGGTGCAAACAGCCTGGGAAGGAGAAGACATTTAAGAATCAATAGAAAACCACATATAACAGGACCTGGGTTTTTTTTAGCAGCTATAGCTAAAAGGCTAATTATAGAACGCCTTGGCTTCCAGCTCACCATAGCTGGAAAGACACCTAGTTCTTCATGCAGTGCAAGGATGAACTGCGGAACTCCCTGCCACAGGAGGCAGAGATGGCTTGGAAAGAGGATGAGGCACATTCATGGAAGAGCATCAGGCTGTGTCGATGGCTCCTCACCCAGGGGCTGATGCCTTTCCTCCACAGTTGGGAGCAGTGGCGCTTCTGAACCCCAGTTGCTGGAAGGGAAGGAGGGAAGAGGTGTGACAGGGCTTGAATCCTGCTTGCCGGTTTCCCATGGAGGCGTTTGGCTGGCCAGATGGAGCATTGGCCTGATCCAGCAGGACTCTGAATGTTCTTATCTGTCTCCCCGGGAAGAGAATGCCAGAGTCAGGCCACCATCACTGAAATCTTCTTGTAGCGGCCAACCAAGTGCCAATGGGAAACCCCCCATGAGTGAATCCCCTGCTTTGTGAGAGGAAAGGCAAGCAAGACAGAAGTCTGTAAACTCATGCTTGGCGCAGAGAAAGGAGATAGAGAGAAGTTCCCTTCTCTCTCACACAACACTAGAACTTGAAGACAGCCAAGGAGGCTGAAGGTTGGAAGATGCAGGACAGATAAAGTCCTCCATGCGGTGTGGAGTTAGACTGTGGAACTCCCTGCCACAGGAGGCCGTGAGGGCCACCCGCTTGGATGGCTTGAAAAGAGAACTAGAGAAAAGGGAATTCCTGGAGGAGGAAAAGGCTCTGGAAGGCCCAGGAAGGGAGAGTTGCTCTGGTGCTCCTCTTCTGCTTGCTGGGTCCCCATGGGGGCATCTGGCTGGCCCTGGTGAGAACAGGAGGCAGGACCAGATGGACCACTGGCCTGATCCACAGGAGGCAGAGGTGGCTTGAAAAGACGCTGAGGCACATTCATGGAAGATTCAAGCAACTGGCCTCCAGCTGTGAAGACAGAGCAGAGCCAGACACCTCGCACCCATGGAAAGCCCTCTCCTCTCCCAGCAATTTGTCTCATCCTCTTGCAAGGCCATCTAGGCTTCTGGCCATCTCTGCCTCTGGTGGCAGTGAGTTCCACAGTTCAGCCAGGCACTGTGTGTCAAAGCCTTTTCTTTCCTGGGTCTGGAGTCCTCCTGGGGGTGGGGCGTTGTGGAGGCCTGGCTCCGTCTTTCCTGAGGGGAAGATGCTTAGATGGGCAGGTGGGCGGCAGGAGGGAGGGAGCTGGTGGAAGTTCTCTTCTTCCAGGATGGTTCTGCTTTTGTTGAGGAGCTGAGCCAAGCCGGGCATTATAGATCTCTCTCTCTCTCTCTCTCTCTTTCTGTTTCTCTTTCCACCACACAGAAGCTGGCAGCAGCCTGAAGAGTGCTTGCCACCCTCCTCCTCCTCTTCCTCCTCCTGAAAACGTGGCCGCCCACGTTTGCACCCGACAAAAATCCATTCGGTTTCAACTCACCGGAGACTGAGAATAGGGCCAAATTCTGCGCCACCAGCAGGGACGTCACACCCCCGGTGCCTCAGGCCTACGCTGGGAACCCACGGAGACTGGAGATGCTGGAGGGATGGATGGTCTCCCCTGTCTCCCCTCCTCCACCCCCCCTTTCGCCCCAGCCCCAGGAAACCCTGCCCAGGCATTGCAAGTGTCTTCTTCTGGCCTTCAGGACTTTATTTTTCTTTTGTACAGCAAAGAATTAACAGGGAGAGGGATCTGGGCCCAGCGTGGCCTCCGCTCTTCCTCTTTGTGGTTGCTGGTTGGTGGTGGTTGAATTCACAGACCGTACGACTGATTCTCCATTATGTCACACCACCCCTGGAAATAAATGTTTTAATATGAGCGTTTCCCCACTGGTTCATTGACAGGAGCGGGGAGGGCTGGCGGGCGGGCGGGGGGCGTCTTTGAGACACATCCTGCAACATCTTGGAGCAGCTTCCAGGGGGGCTGGGAGAAGGTCCAGCTCGCTCCCTGCTCACCGAGGCTGGAACAGAATTAAGTGTCTCGTCTTATGAATCCCGCTCCTTCCCAGCCGTAAAGGAAGCTCTTTCCTTGTTCAGTAAAAGAGTCCGGCAGCCTGGAGGGCCAGGAGGTCACGAGACCCTATCCAGGAAGATCGTGTTGAGTCAGTGGGGCAGATTTTGGGAGGGAGCACAGTGGTTTGGAAAGTCTGGTGACCATCATGCACATCCCACCTTTTCCTCAAAGGAGCTCAAGGGGGGGGGTCATGACTCTTCCTCCTCCCCATTTCATCCTCACGACAACCTTGTGAGGTAGGTTAGACTAAGAGGGACCAATTGAACCCCCAAAGTTACAGCCAGTGAGCTCCATGGTTGAGTAGGGAGATTCAACCATGTTTTCCCAGGTTCTAGTCCAATGCTAAAAATTATTATTATTATTATTATTATTATTATTATTATTATTATTATTATTATTTCAATTTGTATACCCATCACCTGTTGATCTCAGGGTGGTTCACACCATAAAAATTACAAGTTAAAAAGACAACATACATAATAAAACAAGAACCGAAACCGAAACCGAACAATAACCCTCGCCCTTCTACAAACACATTTAAAAGGACAAAGGATGTCAATCAGCCAAAGGCCTCGTTAAAGAGGAACGTTTTCACCTGGTGCCTAAAGGTGTACTATGAAGGTGCCAGGCGAGCTTCCTTGGGGAGAACATCCCACAAATGGGGAACCACTGCAGAGAAGACCCTGCTCTCGTGTTGCCACCCTCCGGACCTCTCGCAGAGGAGGCACACGAAGAAGGACCTCAGAAGATGATCTCAGGGTCTGGGTAGGTTTATATGGAAAGAGGCGGTCCTTGAGGTATTGCGGTCCTGAGGTGTTTAAGGTCAAAATGAGCACTTTGAATTGGGCCTGGAAACGAATAGGCAGCCAGTGCAGTTGGGCCAGGATCAGTGTAATATTCTCAAACTATCTTGCCCGTCTTGCCTGACCGCCAAATTCTGCACCAGCTGAAGCTTCCGAACCGTCTTCAGAGGCAGCCCCACATATAATGCATTGTAGCAATCTAACCCAGAAATTACCAGAGCATAGACAACAGACATTAGGCTGCCCCTGTCCAGATAGGGACACAGCTGGGCCACCAGCCGAAGGTGATGGAAGGTCCTCCGTGCCATCGAGGCCACCTGAGCCTCAAGTGACAGCAGGGGATTCAGAAGGAACCCCGAGTTACGCTCCTGCTCTTTCAGAGGAAGTGTAACCCCATGTAGAGCAGGCAACCCCCCCATCACTCCAGTCTAAGGGAACCGGCCACTAAGAGTGCCTCTGTTTTATCCAGATTGAGCCTCAGTTTGTTGGCTCTGATCCAGTCTCTTACCGAGTTACAACAACAGTCCAGCACATCCGCTGCCCCACACTGGCTCTCTGGAATGGCATCTGGCCTCCACCCAGAACAGAGAGAGTTGCAGGCAGGCAGCCCAGTGGGCAAGAAGGACATCAGGATGCCGGACTCCACACTAGAGCGTGACCAAGGAGCCTTTTGTTTCGGCATGTGCAGTCCAGCAATCTGCCTTGTGAATTGGATGGGGCCCTTCTTTGGCAATGCCCGGGGGTGGCCTCCTGTTGGGATGTTGCCAGCATTTGGAGGGGGCCTGCCTTCCTAGATGCCGGGTCACAGAGAGAGGACGGCGCTGGAGACCAATCTTCTGGGTTTCCGCCAAGGATGTGCAGGGGCACAAAAGGTGTGTTTGGGCTTGGTAAAGAGGAAGAGGGTGTGCCTTGCACCCTCCCCAATGGATTGGCTGCTGGGGCCACCTGCTCCATCCTGCCCAAATAGGAGGTGCCTTTGAGGATCCGGCTAAAGGCAGGCAGGCCTCTCTCTGAGTCCTTTGGGGCACCTTGTGGACCTCTCAGCAGCCATGGCTACCAGGGAAGGAAGCACAAGGCCGGGGCAAGAGGATAGAGAGGCGTTCTTCTCCCTCTCTCCTAACACTGGAACACTCATGGGCAGCCAGTGAAGCTGAACAGTGGAAGATCCAGGACAGAGAAAAGAAAGTGCTTCACACACTGCATAGTCCAACTCTGGAGCTCACTCTCGCTGGGGAGAACTAGCTTGAATGGCTATAAAGGAAGATTAGGCAAATTCCAGGAGCAGAGGTCATTCATGGCTGCTGGCCAAGATAGCTATGGTCTGCCTTTCTCAATGGGAAACAAGTAGAATAAGGAAAATTAAAGGCATGTCTTAATTATGCATTCTCAATGTCTTTTTAATTTTAATTTTCCTTATTCTATTCTACTTGTTAATTCAGCGCAATTCTATTACAGTTGATTTTGACAGCTTGTTGACTAAGATCTTTGGCGACGAAACGTCAGATAACTGGAATGACGTCCGAGCACTAAACCGCTGGAATATCACAAGCGGGCTCTTTATTATTGTGTTTGCAATTGTTCAAGATAAAATCTATTTTGGAAAGAGAAGCAATGAGCACTGAACCACTGACATATTACAAGTGATCTCTTTATTTACTGCGTTTGCAATGGTTTAAGATAAAACCTATTTGGGAAAGAAACTACTTTTGCCATTTTTATGGACATTTATTGTTTGTTTACAGATAGTTGCCTTGGGGATATTGCCTTGTGTCGATTGCACTCGTCCTTGTATCACCACCTTCTCAATGGGAGGCAGCAAAGCTTCTTCTGAATCCCAGTGGCTGGAACCCACCAGAGGGGAGGGCTGCTCTTGTGCTTGGATCTGCTTGCTGGTTCCCCGCAGGGCTGGCCTTTCCAGAGTAGCCTTCGTAGCATCCTCTGAAGAAGGTCCCAAGAAGAGCAGCTTTCCCTTTTGCCCTCGAGCGAGAGAACAGTTAATATTAGTTATGATAAAAATTTAAGTTATATACCACTTTTCTCCAAAGATCATAGGGCAGTTTACAACATGAAAGCACAATAATGTAACATCAAACAAAAGACCATAGACTGTTTAATCGGCCAAACCATCTTGTCTGGGAGAGGAACTTGGCTGCCATATTCTGCAACAGCTGAAGTTTCTGAACTGTCTTCAGAGGCAGCCCCCTGTATAATGTGTTGCGATAATCTAACCTGGATGTTATCAGAGCATAGACGACAGAGGTTAGGCTGTCCCTGTTAAAACTGATGGAAGATCCTCACCACCACTGAGGCCACATGAGCCTCAAATGACAGCAAAGGATCCAGGAAGACCCCCAAGCTATGTACCTGCTCCTTCAGAGGGAGTGTAGCTCCACCCAGAACAGGCCACCTCCCAGCCATCTGCTCTAGGGAACCATGCTCTAGCAGTGCCTCCATCTTATCTGGACTGAGCTTCAGTTCATTTGCTCTTCTCCATTAGTGAGCCAAGGCAACATTATCCTTCCCAACCTTAATTAAAAGTGATACAAGCTCCTGCTACATTTGAGAGCTCTTTTAATTTGCAAAGAAAATGTTCTTCACCTATAATTAGAATCGAAGGGTTGTGAGGGATCCTAAGGGTCATCTAGTCCAACTCCCTGCAATGCAAGAACCAAAGCGAAAGAATCCAACCTCTGCTTAAAAACCCTCTGATGAAGGAGAGTCCACCAGCTTCAGAGGGAGTCTGTTCTGCTGTCAGACAGCTCTTGCCATCAGAAAATTATTCCCAATGTTTAGTTGGAACCTCTTGAAACTTGAAGCCATTGGTTGGAATCCTCCCCTCCAGAGCAGGAGAAAACAAGCTTGCTCCATCTTCCATGGGACAGCCCTTGAGATATTTGAAGATGGCTCTCATATCTCCTCTTTTTCTTGTTAAACATAGCCAGCTCCTTCAACCATTCTTCATAAGGCTTAGATTCCAGACCCTGGATCATCTTGGTCACCCTTCTCCAAATGTTCCAGCTTGTCAACATCCTTCTTAAATTGTGGTGCCTGGAATTGGACACAGTATTCCAAGTGTGGTCTGACCAAGGCAGAAGAGAGTGGAACCAAATACTTCTCTTGATCTGTTGCCTGTTGACAGCTTCTAGGAGCTACAGGGGAGAACTTGCTTGCTCCATCTTGTATCTGACAGCCCTTGAGATATTTGAAGATGGCTCTCATTTCTCCTCTCAGTCTCCTCTTTTCCAAGCTAAACATACCCAACTTCCTCAACTCTTCTGAATCTTCCTGCATCACCTTGGCTGCCTAACCCAATAGCCCAATAGTGAGGAAGGACACTCAATCCCATTTTCCTGACTGCCTCTCCATCCCAGCCCCCCTTCCCACCATGGCCTGGGAGAGGGACAGCTTGCAATTGGGGGGGGGCGTTTCCTGGGTTCCTGCTGGCCTGTCAGGACAGCACTAGGTGTGTGCAAGCTCTCTCCCGAGACTTCCCTCAACCCCAATGATGGGTGTGCCCCTCCTGCCCCATAAGGGTGATTTGGTCAGACCTCAAACCATGAGTGAAAATGAAAGAGCCTTTCCCCTCACGGGAAGCAGCCAAAAGCCAGCCTTGCCTCTGGAGATGCTCCTCTCCTGCCCAGCTGCTTCTCCTGAACACCTTGGCAGCCAGACAGAGCTCTCTCTGCCCTGCAGACGTCTCCTTGCCAAACCGGGCGTCCCCAGAGCCTAGATCAGGCCATATGCTCCCACTTGCACCCTGGCAGCCTTGGAGAGATTGCACAGAGACATTTCAAGCCAGAAAGCTCCCCAGGAAGATTTGCAAGCAGCAGGGCTTCCATTTATTTCATGTTATTTTTGCAGAGAAGCTGCTCTGCCCCGATGCTTCGATGGAGGGGCAGGCTTGCCCTGAGCCAGAGCTGGCCCTACTGCGAGGCAGAGGGAGGCAGTTCTATAATTCTGTGAAATCTGGTGCCTTTTTCTCAATCTCAGCCCGCAGAAGAGGAGACGGAGAAGAGAAAGGATAAGCATCTCCAAATATCTGAAGGACTGTCACCTGGAAGATGGAGCAAGCTTGGTTTTCGCTGCTCCAAAGGTGAGGACCTAGATCAAGGATTCCTACATTGCAGGGGGTGGAGAAGATGACCCTTTGGGCCCCTGCTAACTGTGTGATTGTATGATGATTCAATGGATCCAAATTCCAAAGAAGGAGATTCCAACTGAACATTGCAGCTCTATCATTCTATGTTTCTATGGTAGGGCTGCCATGTTTCAAAAAGGAAAAGCCAGGACACCCCAGAATTCTTGAGCTTTTTAATAGGACCCACCAAAAAAAGTTGTTGAACTTTTATTTACAAAAACACTTCCCCAAGAACCATGCAATCCACCTTTGAAATCCTAGTGATATCCAGGAAAATCCGGACCTATGGCAGCCCTATTCTGTGGCTCCTTGGGGAGGAGAGAGAGAGAGAGAAAGAGATGTTTCAAAGAAAAGAGGTCCCTCCAGGGCCTGGTTTGCAAGCACCAGGGGCTTTTCTTTTGCAGAGAAGCTGCTCTGCCCCTCTGCTTCCTGATGTGGGCTTGTGGGGGGGGGCTTGCCCTGAGCCAGAGCCGGCCCCACCATGAGGCAGAGGGAGGCAGCCACCTCAGCCATCTGTTCAAGAGTGTCCAGAAAGGGCAGCAAATGGTATTTCAGTTTATTAATGTTGGTTCATCCCCCCCTCTCTCGCCTCCTGGTGCCTATGCATTAGGGAGGCTTAAAATAATTCTAAAACCGCACTACAACAAGGAATATATTTAAATGCAAAGAATGCAAACGAGAACAATGCACAAGAGGCACAGCATTGGAAAACAGCAACAGCAACAATGAACGGAATAAGCCTTTTCTGTATTGCTGGGGGTGGGGGGGGGAAGGCACTTTGGGGATTTTCCAGCTCAGATGCCCAAATAACTTGGCTGGCCTTGAGGGATCCTCTGTGGGCACCTTGACTGGGGCAGGGGAGGGGCGGCCCTGTTGGGTGCTGGGTATTTATATCCCACCTTTTTCTCCCAGAAGCTCAGAGTGGCACCTGTGGTTCTCCCCTTATCCCGTTTCATCTTCACAACAACCCTGTGAGGTAGGGTTGGGCTGAGAAGAGGTGGTGACTGACCCAAAATGTCAACTGGTGAGCTTTGTGGCCAAGTGGGGACCTGAAGCCTTCAGAGGGCCAGGCTCTCTTCAGCCTTGGAGTCCTGTGTTCACTTCTGGGCACCTCAATTCAAGGATATGGACAAGCAGGAAGGTGTGGTGAGGTGAGGGGGGTGACTGAGATGATCAAGGGTCTGGAAACCAAGCCATGAGGAATGGTTGCAGGAGTTAGGTATGTTTAGCCTGGAAAAGAGAATCATAGAACCGTGGAATTGTAGAGTTGGAAGGGAACCCAATGGTCATCTGGTCCAACGCTGTGCAATGACTGAGAGGGGGCATATAGCCATTTTCAAATATCAACAGGGCTGTCACATGGAAGAGGGAACAAGCTTGTTGTCTGGTGCTCTGCAGGGTAGGACCCGAACCAATGGATTCAAGTGACAAGAAATGAGTTTCCAGCTCAACCTTTGGAAGAACTTTCTGATGGTGAGGTGTTGGACAGCGGAATGGACTTCCTCAGAAGGTGATGGACTCTTCTTCATGGGATGTTTTTTCAACAGAGATTGGGTGGCCATCTCTCCATGATTCTCTAGCTGTGATTCCTGCACTTTGGGAGTTGGACTAGATGGCACTTGGGGTCCCTTCCAACTCAACAATTTGATGATTCTACCCTAGGTTGCAGCAAGACCTTTCCATCACAGGACCCTCTTCCCATGGATGTCTTTGAAGGCCATCCCAGTGCTGTAGCAAAATCTGAGATAGCTCAGTGGGTAGAGCATGAGACTCTTAATCTCAAGGTTGTGGGTTTGAGCCCTACGTTGCAGGGGGAAAAGATTCCTGCATTGCGGGGGGTTGGACTAGAAGACCCTCGTGGTCCCTTCTAACGCTACAATTCTATGATTCTACCTCTGCTTTGAAACAGTCCTGGGAACATAAAAGTCAGGAGCTATCCTCCCTCCGCCCCCAGTAACCCACCTCTGTGCAGTGGGGACTCCAGTGCTGTGGATCTGAAAGGGCAGCCTGGAAGTTGGGCCTGGAGCTGTCTGTGGTGCTGGCTGATCTCTCCACGCTCTGAAAGGATGTAATGACAAGTGAAGCACAAGAACAAGACAAGATGGTTTCGGGCAAATTCACAAGTTTAATTAAACGTGTTATCAACCAGCTTTCTGCCCTCGGAAGAGGTTTAGCGAGGAATGGGGGAGGGAGGGATGTGTCTCCGCAGAGGATGATGTCACCTGCTGTTGGTAAATATTCAAGATCCGTGTTGTGAAGGCAGTTGGAACTTCTCCACACCTCGGTGGGAGAAGCTGAGCAGGCAGGCTGCCAATCATACCAGTAAGCGTCACAAGGAAGCTGGTGGCCTCAGATGGTGCTTGGTGATCTGTAGAGCTGTGGGGTGTGCATGTGTGGGGGTGTCAACTGGGAGGTCATGGGGTTAAGAGCAACACACCCAGTGGGGTGGGGAGAGCAATGCTTCTCATCTTCCATTTCTGCCAGACACTTTCTGAATGTCATAAGATGATGGGCAGATATCTAGAGCGAGCTATCGGTGGCTGCTGGTCACCATGGCTCTGCTCTGGCTGCTCTTGCGTTTGGGCCCTGCATTTGGACTTCCCACTGGGACATCTGGTTGGCCTCTGTGAGAAAAGGATGCTGGGCTGGGTGGGTCATTGGCCTGATCCAGCAGGCGCTTCCTGTGTTTTTAAGAGCATCTTTTCCAAGAGGCCTGGAGACTCTCCCAGGCTTGAGGGCTCAGGAACCCAGGGAAGTGCCTGGTGCCCAGTTAGACCACTGTTGGTCCATGAAGAGGTTGAAGCTGGGACCTCCTGCATGCCAAGCAGAAGCTCTGCCTGGCAAACCACACAGCCAGAAGGAGGCTGCCGTGAAGCCCTGAATATCCCCAGCCATTCACAACTGCAAAGTCATCCCTGCTCACGGAGTGTGTGCAGAAAAGCTGGCTCGGTCCCTGCCAAATTGCAGCTACTGCTATTTGCATTTCATTATCTCTGGAACTATAAATACCCCCAACGTTATTTTCACAGCACTCGCGTGTGGTATTTGAACATTTTGCCAGTTAGCAGGAGAATGGGTGGCAGAAGGGATACTGGGCTCTCTGTTGATCACTTCTGCACACATACACAGCACATTTGATATGGGAGACGGGAGTAAAGTGTGTGTGTGTGTGTGTGTGTGTGTGTTGCCCTTGCATGTCTGAAGGGACCAGACACGCACACAGAGGCAGCTGCTGGGGTGTGACTCTGTGAACCTAAGAGAATGAGCTCCCCAAATACTGATCAGTGATCACAGTTGCCAGCCAGTCTCACTGTGGGAAACCTGCAAGCAGGATTCGAGTGCGAGTCTCCTCTGAACCCCTGTGTCTTCCAGCAACTGGTTCTGCTGGTTTTCCACTGGGGCATCTAGCTGGCCACTGTGAGGACAGAACTGGCTTTAGAAGAACGCAGTGCAAGTTCCCTGGCATCCAAGGAAGTAGGGCTGGCATTGTGAGCGCAGCTCAAGGCGTGGGAGAAGAGGGATCCTGCCCACCCCAGGATGGGGCCTTGCCCCCTTCAGTGGGAGCTGCCCCCTTTGCCCCGATCCCCTCATCCAGAAGCTGGAGACATGTCTGAGGAGGGAGAGAGAGTGTGTTGCTGCTGCTTACTATGCAGAGGTGCTTCCGGATTCTCTCCTTCCTGATAAGGCAGAGAGAGCAGAGGGAGAACTTGCCACCTTCATCCAGACGGTTGGATGTGAGCGGGCAGGAAGGGCAGGTTGGTTTCCTGTCGGGGAGGAGAGGAGGCCCTTGTTCCAGGTGACCTTCAGAAGGACCTGGAGATTGCATGGCACTCAGTGGAGGGAAATTCCTTAGGGAGCTGCAGATGCTTTGGACAATCGACAAATTAATGGAGGAGAGGCCTATAGATGGGGCAGCAATGCTTCCAAACCCCAGTGGCTGGAAACCCAAAGAGGGAAGAGGGCTCTTGGGCTCAGATCCTGCCTGCAGGTTCCCCATATGGGCATCTGGTTGGCCTCTGTGAGAACAGGATCCTGGACTAGATGGGCCGCTGGCCTGATCCAGCTTCTGATGTTCTTATGTTCATCCTCTCCTTTATCCAGGCATCCTGAGGGGGTGTCAGGAGCCTGAGAGCCACAGGGGGAGGGGGAGGACTCAGGAGACCTCCATACTCAGCTTTTGAAAATGAAAGCACACATCTTTTGCCTGCAGCTGAGCAGTGGGGAGTCTGTGTTCTGATGCCCCACCCACACTGCCTTGGGGGGCAATTCCCAGGGCTGGAGATTCCCTGGACGACCCTTTCATCTGCAGAGGATGTCTTCCTCCCAGGAGTAAGGGGTGTCTCCTGCTCACACTTAGGAAGGTTTCTGCAGGGAACCAGGAAGCAGGGGTCCCCTCCTGCGGTTTCCAGCCACCAGTGTTGAGAAGCAAAGACTTGTCTCCCTTCCCTCGAGTGAGATGCACACGCAGGATTGATTCTTCTGTGTGTCATAACTGGCAGCGCTAGAGTTTTAAATGAAACCTTTGCCAGGGCAACCAAGAGGTGAGTGAGAGGGGGGAAATCAACTGGGTTCCCTACCGAAAACCCGGCTCTCTCTTTCACCGCCTGCCCCCGCAGAGCTTGTTAACATTTCCTAGCAAATTCTCTTTCCCTTAATAGCCTCTTTCCATGGCAAAACCCAAACACCTCCTGCCCCTCTTGCCGTCCTTCAACTCCGCACATAATTGCATCCTTGCCCTGCTAAATGTTTCCTTCCTGCTTAATCTTTCCACTCGCTCGGCTCCCTTCATTACAGAGCATCTGAATTAAGAGTCCTTAATGGCCTCTTGTGGGGACCATTATTGAAGGTCTTGTGAACCTTCTAAAATGTGTTTCTGCCACCCCTGAGGAGCTCAGAGACCGAGCGCCTGCGTGGGCTCCCTGGGATCCTTCTTCCAGTCACAGGTGTGGACCAGGTTTCTCCTATGTGGGGGGAGGAGGCCCTGGGAGGGGCGAGGAGATTTGGCAGGAGGTCAGACAAGAACACTTCGCTTCGCTTTTTCAGCTCCCAACACTGGATTGTTGAACTGCGAACTAAAACTGGAGACAGTTTTCACTAACAGAGCTGAAAAGGTCTTTTTGCACCATCTTTGCACCCTTTGCAGAAACATGAACAGGTGACCTTGCTGAATTGCCCTCCCTTGCTCACAGTGAATGGCTGAAAAGCAAGAAGAATAGGAGAAGAGCCTGCCGGATCTGGCCAATGGGGGCCCATCGAGTCCAGCATTCTCACAGTGGCCCACCAGACGCCTGTGGGACATCTTCAGGCAGGATTTGAGCGCAAGAGCAGCTCTCCCCTCCTGTGGCTTCCAGCAACTGGGGTTCAGAAGCATTGGCCTGTGGAGGCAGAGCATAGTCATCGTAATCAGTAGCCGTTGAGTTCTCTTTTCAAGCCATTGAGGGAGGGGGTTCCATAGTTTAACTATGCAACGTGTGAAGGACTTTCACTTTGTGCAGGGTCTTCCTGCACCTTGATGTCTGCTTCCTCGCATTCCACGGGCACCAGACACCCATTTCCGGAGGGTGGTGTTTGTGGGATGTGATACATAAGTAGCAGTCAAGTACAACATTCCTTGTTTTCCTAGAGTGGGCATGTGGGGGAATGTTTGGTCCAGCGAGTCAAAAACTTATTGTTTCCTTCTGGCTGGGACATACTTCCTTTGCATGTGACTAGAGGTGGGCGTGACCTTACCTGTCCAGGTAACAAAAGGACAAGGCATGCAGCACACTCTCTCTTTTTGACTTCCTCCATCGTTGGAGCAGCTTTTTAGCTAGAGATGCTCTGTTGGCTTCTAGCTTCTAGCCAACAGAGGACACTGGGATTTTCCCCATATGGGATAGCTCCACATGTATATACATTTTAACTAGGTTTGCCTTCAGGGATCCAACCGTGAACAGAATGTGAGTAAACTTCTTTTCTATACTTTACACAAGATTGTGGCGTCTTTATTCTTTTAAGAGGGATATAGGGGAACTTACCAGGAACCTGATAGTGAGATCCTTACACAAGCCTGCAACCAGTTATCCACTGTGTGTTTAAAAGGGGAATGTAAAACTCTGCTAAGTAAAGGAACTTGCTAGCACAAGTTAGGAAGGATATTAATAAACAATATATCCAGAGAGCCTCCCTGGCTTCTGCTCATTTCAATAAGATTAGGCATGGGAGGAGCTCGGCCACTCAGCCACTTTGCGTTAGCTCAGTCTCTTGTTGCAATGCACTGCAGAAATGTGTGCAACCCTGACATGAAGCCTGGTAGCATCACCCCCGCCATGTCTCTCTCATATTGGTCTTTACAGCCACAGCAGGCGCTGCAATGCTCCAGCATTTTGACTTTACCCCCAAAGGCACACTCCTCCATTGTCTCCTGAGACAGGCAGATGCCAACCAGCCAACTTGCCTTTTTCAACCTCTGGATATTGGCTTCTAGCTTCTAGCCAACAGAGGACACTGGGATTTTCCCCATATGGGATAGCTCCACATGTATATACATTTTAACTAGGTTTGCCTTCAGGGATCCAACCGTGAACAGAATGTGAGTAAACTTCTTTTCTATACTTTACACAAGATTGTGGCGTCTTTATTCTTTTAAGAGGGATATAGGGGAACTTACCAGGAACCTGATAGTGAGATTGCCAGTTCCAGCATCCAGCACCTCTTACCATCAGACGTTTCTTCCTAATACTTTGTGGGAATCTTCTTTCTTGTCATTTGACTCAACAGAAGTGTACTGTCATCAACAGAGGTATAGGGTCCATCAAGGGAAGTCAAAGTGCCGCTGTGTTCTGGCTTGGTCAGACCACATCTGGAATACTGTGTCCAGTTCTGGGCACCACAATTTGAAGATGGAACAAACTTGTTTTTCCCCTAACCTCTGGAGGTTAGGATCTGAACCAATGGATTGAAGCTTCAAGAAAGGAGATTCTGAGCAAGCATCAGGTAGAAGTTCCATCTGTCATGGAAGCTTTAGTTAGCTCAGTGGGTAGAGCGTGAGACTCTCAAGGTTGTGGGTTTGAGCCCTA